AAAGCTGAGACTGAAACTAAAACAATTTTCATCTGTTGGCTCTGGCTTTGGTCAGGATTTGTGCGTTTGTTTGTATATTTGTTTTGGTTCATTGCCGTTTCGGCTGCCAAAGTAATCTGAGTACGAAACTTAAGGACGTTGATTTATTTATGTTCGATTAATTCATTTCCGGCACGTGGTGTGGCGCACTTAGCCGCACACAATTTTACCGAATTCACACCACAAAATCATATGTGCTTGTATGTGTGTATATGTGTGAGTGTGGGTGTGTCGGTGTACTTATGGACAGGATTTCGACTATTTGTTGCCTTCGGCTGCGTCTTACAGATTAAGTTTGCAGCGAACGTGACTGGTCTGGTCCAACTGCTCTAAGACTATATTTCCTGTCGCAAGCAGCATCGTGTCTCTTACCATTTCATTCTCTCACTATTTATGCCATTCAGCTGCTAATGTATGTATGTGTATACTAAATACATATTTAAGCAACTTATTTTGTTTATTTGCCATTTCAATGAATTCTGCAGAAATTGTAAGCTTTTACCTATGGCAAAACAGATTTGGCATAATAATTCCTTCAATGTCGGCGGCGATTTATTGCGGCAGACAAATATAAATATACATGTTTTTGGTGATATCTCAATTGTAGAAGATTTATATTAGTCTATAAGAACAGCTTGACCAAACAAATCGTAGGGTTTAATTAACTTAATGTTCATTATATTACTATTTATATACATAGTTACAGTAAAACCCGGTTAAGAGCAACTCTCCTTAAGACATCGCTCCCGGTAATAGTATAGCAATATTGGAATATTTTTCACGATTGCTCACGCCTTCCTTATTCGGTACAAATTTCTACCTGTTGATCCATATTTGACACTTGCGAACTTTTGCAAGTTTAGGAACAAAAATAAGTTGAACGGCGTCAAATCTGGAGAAAACGGTGTATGGGACAGCAGTTCGTAGCCCAATTCAGCCAATTTTTCACAGGCGATGACTGAGCTGTAAGCGGGTGCGTTGTCTTAGTGGAAATACAGTTTTTTCTCGTTAAAGGGAGTCGCTCATTTTACAATTAGTCGTTGCATCGGTACAATAATTCAGCATAGTAGAGAACTGTAACCGTTTTGCGTTTCTTCTGGTAGTCCATGTCGATCACAACTCGTGAATCTTTGAAAACGGTGGTCACTCTCTTTACGACCGATAAGCCACTCCCCGCTTTCTTGGGATCAGGTTCGCCGGTGAGTTCCACTATTTCGGCAGTATCACGGTCTTTGCGTGCTCCATGTTTTATCGACGGTTACGAATCGAACTCAATTAGTTTTTTAATTAGTCATTAACTTCTCCTACAAATCCTCAACATAAGTACTCATATTACAGTACAGTACTCAGGCTGTTAATAATCGATTAGAAATAAACCAAACTTTAGTTATGTTCGACATGATTAAGGGCCCATCTTTCATATTTCTAGCGTAATCTGTATATTAAAGTTACTTTCGATATGGTCTACATAGTTTCGGTTGAAATTGCACAGCAAAACAAAATTCAATATAACCTTAACACAGAATGTATGTATGTATTTCAGTTCGAACAGCTAAAATTCCTCCACAGCTACCTAAAAAGAGAATTATTAGCCACAGCGATTTCGTTCATTTGACTATCGATCGACAAAGAGCGCTCTGATTAACTATATGACAGCGTGTCAGAGTTTTCCCACCATTTCAAACCACAAAAAAAATTAAATTGTTTTCGAATTTAACAGCAACATATTTCGCAATATTAAAAATACTAACAACAACAAAAACTTAACACCACGAAAACCACGGAATATTTTTTTTTTTGCGAAATTCAGCAGCATTCAAGCTCACCGTATACAAAAATTATCGGTTTATGCCGGTATGTATATTCAAACATATACGTAGATATATCTATGTATATACTTCTTTAAATTGCTCTGCGAAAATTAGTTAGTTTTGTGCGACAAGGCACTGTGGAACGAGAGTTAGCTGTTTGGGTCAAAAAAATATTTGATGATCGAAAAAACTTTCTTAAGCAAACCGCTTAATATTTTTGACTGAAAAACCTTTTCAAATTCATTTACCGTTCTCTCTATTTCAAGACATTTTCAGAGAGAACTAACAAATGGAAATAATGTATAGCATACTTTATTATTGATATCATAAAAGTTCTATAATCCACAATCTACCTCCTTATAGGACTTCTCAAAAAGTCTAAAGAATTCTTTTTATATGATAGGTACACATCCAAGAAAATAAATGTAACCAAATTGAATTTCAAGTCAATCAGTTAGGAATTACCGGAGTAAGTTCCGGCCAATGTAGTTTGAACAAAAACCTATTAGATTTTTTATACCCGCTTCGAGCAGAGAATGTTAATAAATATAGATAATCTATTTAAAATATTAACATTCTCTGCTTCGAGCGTATAAACTAGGGCTTTTAAAATTATTCGAATAACGCGAAAATCGATATTCGAATATCCAGTTTAGAACAGTTCATATAAATATTAACCGAATAATATATTGCTCTGCTGCAGCGAGTATTTAAATAAATGAAAATAATTTGAAATCTAAGCATTTAAATGAACGCGAATAGTCGACAACGAACGGTTAACCGAATAGTTGACAACTTACGACTATCCAGATAGCGCAAACCGAATATTAATATATAAATGGTGTTGTCTATACTTTTTAATAGTATTTAAGCCAAAACATTTGATTTTCTTCTAAATTCTAGCAGAGTATAATATACGAATTGACTTGACTAAGTTTCAGAATCACCTTTCCCAAGAGGGTCTTTACTGACGACGGTTCTGAAAAATGAACAGCTCCTTAAGGAGAAAAGGACATGTGCGGGGAATAGTTCGCGTATATACAAACAAACTTAATATACCCTATTCAAGGTATAAAAGGTACATAAGTATTGAGCATTGAAAAGCTGGGGACATTAAGAGGTTATTTTAGTCTAGAGTCCCCAAAAAGGGCCTTAGTTTGGCAATTTATAATGTGAATAAAAAAGAAAAAAAAACTTTTTTTCTCTTCTTCGGGTTTTAGTAGACATACAAAACGGTGGCTACTTGACTAAGTTTCACCTTTTTAAGAAGGCCTCGGTTGGCCACGGTGATTATGGCAACTTGTGCTCTCAAAAACAAAATTAATAACGGGACCTTAATCTATTAATCTTAATCAATATATAATATATTATATATAAGATCCTATGTTTTTATTGTAGATCTTCGCATATAAGTGGTCTTTTTAAAGAGGCCTAATTATTGACCTAAAAAATTATTCGAAAATTGCTTACAAAATAGTTGAAATAATAACAAAAAAATCGTAAATAGATTACTAGATGATATTGCTATGAAGCTAGAGCTAAAATTTCAAGTGAATACGTGCGATAGCGCCCGAGTACCATCGCCGCTCTATTTGAGAGATGCAACCTTGAGAAAAACGCGTTTAATACTGTATGTACTGAATTCGACTGCCCTAATCGCTTCGACTATGCTTTGAATAGAACTGCAATTTTTTTGTCATTATAATAAAGTATTTCGGATAGGTCTGATCCCATAAAATATGAAAGCCAATCTAAAGCTTTTGTATAGAAAGCTATAAACACAAGTCTGGTCCTTGTATATATTTGTTATAGAATTATGTGTATATGCACTAATGCAAGCACAAGCGTATATCTGTATTCTAGAAGTATATATGTGTACTTTATATATATATAAGTACATAGATATAGGTTCATAGCCCTGTATGTGTATGGAAAAATATTCTGCGATTTTTTCGTGCAAAAACATGCAATTTTCATACACCACCACATAGTTTGCATACGATTCCCAGCGCGTCTGTGTTTGTGCAACGGAAAGAAAAATCGCAAAACCGGAAATAGATTTTACTCCCGTCAGTGCAATTTCGTGTGTTGGTGCAAGCGAATTTATGCGGTTAGAATATCGAGTATTTGTGTGTATGTTTTTATATGTGTGTACGTGTTTCTGAGCTCGTGTGTTCGTGCGTTTGTACCTTTGTATGCGGAAATGAATCATGTGCCAGCGCAAAATATGCATTCAGCGAAAAAAAAGCGCTGGTGCATGGCATAAAAAGCCAAAATTGTATAAAGTAAAAATAGCAACACCAAATGAAATTGAATGACAAGGGAGCAAAAAGTCAAATCACGCAGTTTTGTGGTTTCGACAAACTGAAATTCAATTTTTTATCGTCATACAAGAAAATTGCCTGCACACGCAAACATACCTACGCTTAAGCTGCGCTTTAATAAAGTGAAAATAATTGACAACTGAAAAATGCTGTTATTTAAAAACTTAGCTATATATTATATACAGTTATAACTGTATTTAATGCGTGCTGCATTTAAGATCTAAAGTGAATATCGTGCTACGCCCTCGTCTAACGCCTCGCGCACACGAAAGCGGTTTGCATGCCACTTTATTACTATCCGGCTAAACCTTAAATTAAGCAATTAACATTAATATTTCCCTTTAGTCTGGCTGACTAACTGACAAACTGACTAACGGACAGAAATAGACCGCAATGCCATGCAAATTTTATGTGCTCCCAAATCCGCTTAAGCTCATAAAATTTAAATTTTTTTTCCTACCACACTTCTGCGGTTAATTTTCCTCGACCGGCAACAGTCTCCCCCCGTTTGGAAACTCTTAATAGCCTCCCCTTGCCTCCTGCAGCCAACTCCTAACTGCCGACTGCCAGCTGCCAGTTAAATGATCAACCACAAACCAACGCAAGGTTGTCGTGGCGATAAGCATTTAATTTAGTACTGCCATGTTTCCAACTAATATTTTTAGTTTTTTTTATTATTTACGAGTATATTTCTACTGGCATATACCTAGCGTATACATCTTACATATAAGCAAATATATATGTAACTATATAATTTTTAAAAATTTCTATATCCACTTTTTATTGTTGTTCATATTTTGCCTTCTCTATTTTCTTTCTTCTCCAGGTTGCTGTTTCGTGACATTTTATACTCGTCGCGCTGCCTTAAAAGCTCAAGATGCCCTGCACAATGTGAAAACCTTAAATGGGGTAAGTTCATAAAACTTAAAATGAATTCGCTATATTTCATGTCATTTATTACACTTATCCGGGGAGTTTATCTTCTATGTGCCTAAGCATAGTTGCTATAAATCAAATTTAAGCACCTTTTTAATATGCTAATTATATTTGAAAATGAAAAGAGGGAGTGGACTTAATGGTTGCATGGCAATTTCATCTGGAATAAATATTCATTATATATGGGTCATTCCATTGAAAATTTACATTAAACATTTTTTTTTGTGATTTTTGAGGCAAAATATTGGACACGTATTTTTTATTTCGACTCAATCTGAATTGGAGTTATAAACTTTCAAAATTTCAACTTTTGGAAAAAGTACCTTTAAACATTTGCGTATACGAAGAAAAGTATTTCTAGAAAAAATTAGTTGGCGGCCTATCCTTTACGATTTTTTCTAAGCTTTCCAGTGATATTGAATTGAGTTTATTCGACCTTTTTTTATATAAAAAATAATTTTATTCAGTTTATTTTTGTGCTTGTTTTTAAAATATTAGAATCATATTCTTATAAGTGAAAGGCAAAAAAACACTCGCTTAATAAAAAACCTTTTCTACATTTTGAGAAGCTTATTAAATAATCGATATCGATATTTTTCATGATTCGATCGATTTTTAAAGTATAGAACCACATGAACGAGCAAAAAAGAATCATGAAACTAACAGGGGTTCTAACAGGGTTGTCAAATATCTTCGAGGAACTTGTTTATGTGGTGCATCCTTTTGATTCGGCACACGCTTACGAAACGCAGTCCTAATATGTATATATAGGGAAATGTCAAAAATAGGCTATTGAAAATAGTATCTTTACTTGGATAAGCCGTTGCATAATTCTTAAACTCATTTCAAACGAAGAATTTTCGGGAAAGATTTGTAGGAAAAAAAACTTAGTTTATTTATCGATATTATTTTTACTCTCAATGTCTTTGATATAAAATTCATAGAACTAGTACTACTATTTAATTCAATAAAATTACTCTCTGCGGGTGGGGGATTGAAAATATAATATGTGTAGTTGAGTTAAAAATCTTTAATTCTAAGTTTATTATAAACTTGCTTGTGCTTATACACTGTTTACGAAAATACACTGATTTTACCGATATGCTCGCCTATTCTGCAATCGTCTGCTTAACTATAATTTGAAACGGAGCCGCCTCCTGGGAACATCCAGAGGTCATTCCTTAATTACGTCAACGAGAACAGTACGCCAACCACACTACAGCTGCAACAAACTTCAGACACGCACTGTGGCAGGTTAAACTTCTACTTATCCAGAATTTAAACCGACATACCAAATATATGTCCTACGTGCAAGATCTATTTAGATAATAGATAGGCGCTCTTCTCAGCCTCACATCCAGCTCCAGCAAAAACTAAATTAACTAAAGAAAAAAACGTTTGGATTTCTGGTTAGTATTTTTGATTTGTGCTTTCAAATAGGAACGGTCTTTTAGATGCACAGTTCAATAGATTTATAGATAATTGAGAACTGCACTGCAACCAGTACTAGCGCATAAACAAAAAAATAAAATAAAATAAAAAAATTTAATAAATAAAAAATATAATTTGAGCCACAGACGTCATAAGCGTCAGCTCGGGTTTAAGGAGTCAAGTGTTTTACGAGTAGCCCTTTAGTGAAGGAAGAAGTGCTTAAGACTTTTTATCTTTATTATGGAAAAGTCTATACATAGTATATTGCCACCAGTAACCCTAGGCCTACTCCCTAGAGAGTTTTGTTTATGGTTTAAATATTTTCAGCAGCTCGCCGTCCTTTAATCTTTGTGGAACTTCTTCTTCATAGCATTGGGAGCATATTTCAAGTTTTGAGCTAACTCAAGAAGCTTCTATCTCTAGCATGTATGATTACGTGTTTGAAACAGTAAGCACTCCGAGAACTACTCATCGAAGAAAATCCATATATAGTTTTCCTTAATCATGCCTGAGACAGCTAACCCAAATTTTGGTGCAGTGCAGGCCTGAAAATTAACTAAAAATAATTTTTGGCTTTAAGAAAAACTGGATAAATTGGGAAAGCGCTCGAGGAACCATTAACTCGGTTATTAACTTTATTCTTTGCTTTTGATTCATTAGAAATTTCTTGTGCGATTAGTGTTTCTTTTAAATTGCTCTTTTCATGGTTACAAATCCAGAATGTACCATTTGCATGGAAAGCACAAAACTCATTCGAAATTTCCTTTTCCCTTTTGTTTTGTTTAACCCTTATGTATTGTAGTTGCGAAATTTTTCAAAACCAGTTTCTGCTGCCCTAATTGCAATACACCCAATTTATTTGGAACTTTCGCTTCACGCTCCTTGCCTCTCGCTCTGTTACGCTCGGATATTTAGCGTAATTTTCACATTTTTAACGTTGTCTAATTAAAATAAACTTAAAAATTCCAGGCGAAAATGGTGAAATAAAGGGCGGGAAATGCTAACGTTTGCATTTAGTTTCGAAAACGGTCATTTTGTGGACTTGCTGTTGGTTGGTGGTTGGCGGTAAGAGGAAAATACATATTTGCTGTGTGGTAAAGTCTACGCGTTGATTTATTGACGCGTTCAACCCCATACATTTTACCGAATTTCGCAACCGCCCTGGTCCTCCCAGTACTCTATACTTATATCTACATAACATGAACGGAGTATGCGAGCTGAAAAAAATCCGAGTCGAAGTGGTCTGGGGTCGCTGTGGTAGGCTTTGTTTTAGCAAGCCAGTGTTGGGCAGCGCGCATTGAAAATGATGGCAACGTGTCACGTTATAAAAATATATTCACTCTTTAATATTTAATATATGCATGGCCGAGGCATATGTGCGCGCCACCTCGGCGCTTCGTTCAATGAATAGCGGTCCGTCAATTGAGGTCGCTGAGTTTACTGTTGAAGAATGCGTACGCCAGTAATCCGATGTGGATTTTACATTGTTCGCCTGTTCGTACAACGGTATTTTTACGCTGATGACTTCGTATGGCAAAAATTCGGTATTTATAGCATGTTATCGTGCTGCAAATGACCCAGCGATGTGTATGAATGGCGTAGCCGCAGGTATGCTTCGGGTAGCGTACTCCAATTAACAGCTATAATTTAAAATGTCACACATATTCGCAGTGTGTGCGTAGCCCGAAATATATAATCTTAAAATTATATATTTAAATTTATAACTTGGAAACACCTTTGTAATTTCCTATAAGAGGAGGTTGCTTATATGTTAGATGTTTTAAAAATATGAACAAGAAATGCCGGCAAGCAGTTTACTCAAAGCCGGTGGTAAAGTTAATTTATAGACACCTTAAACCCTCAGTTTCCTGTATATTTCTGTCAATAGATTAAAATTTTCTATATATATTTTGAATTTAGTTGATATTATGTATATACCAGTCAGGCCTGCCGTAATATTGCTATTCGATTAAATGATAGATAATGTCTGTTCTATAACTACCTTGATAAATCTTATAGACCTGACGCCAGGAGTCCTCCCTACACACACTTACAAACCTTCTCCATTTCTTTTCTTGGATTTCAATTCATATATATCCTTATAATTATTCACCGAATACAATGAAATTCATACCTAAGCTGGAACAGCCTGTTTGAACTAGGCCACCCAGCGCGTTCAAACTTTAGTCTCAATAGCCGGAGAGTATTCTTCTTCGAGGTTTTAAACTCATGTTTTCAATACTAGGTAGTCATGTTATCGTTCAATTAATCTAAACAACTTCAACTTCCAAGATTCTTCTTTCATTTCATAAAATCGATGAAATGCTTAACGACATCCCAAAATTATTTAGGATGAGAGGATTCTGGAGAGGGATTGGCTAAACCGACACTAAATATTTAGATCGGGTCCGACCTCGAATGTGAAAGCATCTGAAGTATGGATTAAATAAATATAAGATATAGGAATTATTATGGTATTGAAGTGAAACTTCTTCAAAAACGGTAGTAAAATCGTTGGGATGATCCGTGATTGAGTAAGTCAACAAATTCCGTCACGGTGGCAATATACAGACCTCCACCATAGTTAAACTGTAATACTCGAAGAAGGTTGCCACCTATTTAAAAATTTCAAATAAAAGATTGATAACTCAGCAAATTGATGAGACTTCAGGACGCTTACAACTGCAAATATTTTGTAGCAAGGGTTGCCACTTGCCTACAAATAATTCAACTAATTTATTATAAATAAAATATTTAAACAGAAGAGGTTAAAGAACGGTTATTTTTGAAATAATTTTTAATTTAATAAAAGAGTTGCCACCTGTTTGCGATTATTTATTCAATTCGATCGCTAAATATAATATTGATTTTATAAAATTACAAATATTTAAGTATAATTTGTATAGCAGATATTTCTGAAGAGGGTTGCCACATATTCAAAAATATAATTTTAAAAATTAATTATCGATGGTTGACTGATAGATATTTTAGGAAATGCTTAAGCTTTATCAGTAGAACCAGTAGTAGAATTAGCGTGTATGTAGTGTGCGTCGAAATTTATAAAAGCTTAGGCAACAACCTTGATATTTTCACTTATGACTATGGTGCACAAGAATTTTTTAAGCGTCGATGTAAAGTAGTCAGAAAAATTTGAGAGCAATTTTCATTGTTGTCCTTTTTCCTCTCTTTAGCTTTCGAAGAATACAACTTCGTTATACGACTGCATTAATAGCTTAAATGAAGCCTCTTTTGACCTCGAAAATTTATTATGAAAATTATGTAAATTCCTTCATTTCCGAAATAGGATTGTGCTTCCTCGCTCTACAGTATATTAGTGTGAAGACACGAAAAGAGTTTACCAAATCGGATATGTAGATTTTGCCAAGGCGAAAAAAATTTGAATTTCCATTCAAAATAAATAACAAACTGGCATTTGAAAATGCAACGCAAGCGGAAATTTTATGGGAATTTATCGACATTGGCAGAAATGTCTTCGTCGGAAGAAAAATCAAGCGCAATTCGACCAAGTGTCTGTGTGTGTATGTTTTTCCTCATTTCTTAAGTTGCCCGAGTGCAAAGTACAGAGCGTCACGTCGCTGCACACGAATGACTACGTAATTTGCATGCAACCATCTTTCTACACGCGCACATGCCGGAAATGCTGAAACCCAACATGCCACGCGTGTGTGACGATTGCATGTGTGTATGTGTTGTGTGCATGCTCATTGAGTGCACACATGTATGCTATGTATATGTATGTATGTTTGTATGCAAAAGAGGACGTTTGATTTTTGTAGTTGTGGCATTTTTGCTGTGGCAGCAATTTTAAATCTTTCCTGCTGATGATGACAGCTCAGCTGAGTTTTATATATAATAACGTTGTCCTTTTCCCGTTATACATAACTATTTTAAAAATTATCCCCACAGGGATTTAGTCCATGTTTTTTAACGAATATTTAAAGAGTTTTCATATATTTCAAATTCTGTCGAATGTAAAGTATATAGGTAAACAATTTTTTCTTCGATCTAACGAAAACGTTTCACTATTGTGGCTTCCGAACTATCTAACACGAAAAGCTGACTCAAACCACTTCGTATATCGAAATTGTAAGAGATGATGATTACCAAAACAGAAACCACTCGATCTGAAATTCGAATCGTATAGTATAATAGACAGTATCTTATCAGCCTCTTCATGCCATTTTTATATACTATTCATAAGACCTTTAAATATTGTTACCTCGTTTGATTGTTGTGTTCAAACCATTTGTTGCCGTCGACGAAACAAATTATCTCCATCATGCTTTTTGTAGACAGACATTCAAGATTTGGTATCTGATGGATTCCAAGAGTTCTACGTCGGATTTATGATAAAGCTGGGTACTCACAGCGGAGGTGTAAAACCTTTTCCTATTGCTATATTTCATTCTTTAAATGGTCACTGCCCCTTTATGGTGGCTGTAAGTTTATATATACTTTTTCTGGATCTATCTAATAAATTCTTAGTTCTTGACTTGTCATATTTTGGCCATATCTGTTTTCTATCTTACACTTGGTTACAGATTTCCATCTGTTCTCAACTATTTGTTCAAATTGCGTATTGAGCTCCCTCTTGCTCGTTTCTAGTGGGCACGGTATTATCCCCGCCTCGGATTCGTCTAGAGAGGTTCCTCACTTGGCCATCTCGAATCGTAATCAACTATATGTATTTAAATATTAATAAAACGTGCGGTTAACGCTGCGGTTTCGATACTTATAATAAGTCAAAGATATTAAAGGCGCGCCAGTTCGGCTCACCTCGAACTTTGTCATAGATCTGATATTAAATTTTCACTACACACAAATAACTTTTTCAAAATGTTTTAGAACTATTTAGAACCTTCGTTTTACGAAAGTTAAGAATTCTCTTTCTCTCGTAGTAAATTGTATAAGAGCAAGTCAGTCTCAATAAAATGCTTCGAATGTCAGTTATTCAGGCGATCCTATTGTCCTACCTGACATACCAGACGGAAAGATAAGGACTCTGTCTTTTACGAAATATAAGTCAACCTCTTTTCTAACTACAAGCTGCCACAGACATGTTTGAACATACCTCCTTGATAAAATACCATTATATCAAAAGAAACTACACAAAGATGGATGGATGGATCTATGCTACACAAAAATATTTTTGGGCAAATTTAAATAATATGTTCCCAATTCATTAGTGAAGAATGATACGGTACTCTGAGTCAAAATGTAGCGCTGTAATGTTAGGTTCTTTTGTTACAACCTATACAAAGAAGGTTATTTCAAACTCAGTGAGTATTATTATGATATTCAGGTTAAGATTGTGGTTCATTTCGCCAGAACATCTGGTATATAACTGATGCGTTGCATAAACAAGGGATGGAAATAAAAGGCGTTGCCTATGAGGCCACAAATATACTTTTGGCGAGGTTTCTCGGCGTTAAAAATTTGAACTGCAATGGAAAAGTGGGCGAACTGCCGATCTTGTAGCTTCTACAAATGTTACTTAAGCCACGCTGAATGGTGATAAACCAACCTCTACTTCTAAGCAAAAGATAAATCAGTTTCATTGCAGAGATTATTGGACGATATTTTAAAGTTCTTTTTATACCCTTTTATGCCATGGAGGGTATTATAGCTTCGGTGCAGCCGAAGTTAGCTTTTTTTTTGTTTTAATTTAAATACGTCGAACATTGGGCCTGAAAAAATGTTTCTCTGGGGAGTTCTTCTTCATTACAAATAAGAAGAAAGTTTAATATGAAGAAGAGGTCAGCAAAAAATCATTGTATTTTGGTGGAAGTTTACGATGAAACTGCCCTAGATGAGCGAACGTGCAAAAAGTTTGAAGATGTAGAACTGGAAGCATCATTCGATGAAGATTGTTGCCAAACACAAGAAAAGCTCGCAGAATTTTTAAGAGTAATTTAAGCAACCATTTAAAAACGTTTTAAAGTAGTCGGATGCACACAAACGCAAAGAAATTGGATGTCATAAAAATTAAGACCGAAAGACACAAAAATAAGTTGTTTTTACATAAGCTTGTGACTGGTGATAAAAAATTAGGACAAACCTTAAAGCAAAAAATCTTATAAGAAAGAATCAAGATAATATATGGTACAATTATAACATGTAAATATGCTCTGTGTCCCGACATTAATAAAAATTGGACTGCCATGGTGGAAGAAACTTCAAGCTACTACGGATTCCAGCATGCTGTTAAATGGTCTTTATTTGGATCGCACTGAAAAGCCCAAAACGGGTATTTATATCTTGCGATCATCATTCTTCTGTAGCATCCTTTCAGTGAACTAACCCACCTTCTTTTTTGAAATTTTTACTCCGACAAATTCGTTATAGTCGCGTAATCACCATTAAACTGAGCTACCGAAATTCCTGTACTTGACAACAATTTACTATATCTTCATGGAAGTCTAAAATATATTACTACATTTAGCCTACCATTAAAAATTTGCACTTCGAGGCTTTAAATAAAAATAATTTCTAATATTTATCTTTATTGATATTTTTAATTTAAGCTCATAACTTATAAAATACCATAGACTCATAATCTCGATAATCTATGAACTTCGAACAAAATTCACCCATTTTTTTATTTTATTTCAGATGTATCATCCCATTCAGATGAAGCCCGCGGATAGCGAAAATCGAAATGGTAAGTCACTACACAGCTTTTCATTTCTCCAATGACATAAAAAACATTTCGTAACTGAATCGGCAGCTCGGCCGGCGTGCGTGCGTTTGTTAAACGCCTGAATGTATGCTGCGAAGTATTTCAACCGCTGCTATTTAAATACTAACACATTTGTTATCACTTTGGCTGCGAATTTGTGGCACAATTTTTGGCTTCAACACTTTTCGACTCCGGTCATTTTTCCCAAATATTTCTCTCTCAATTTTTGTTAGTTGAGGAGTGTGTTACAACAGTTTTCGCCATTAGTCCAGTATTTGGTTTTGTGCAGTGTGGGGAAGTAAAATTTAAACTAGTCAAAGTTAAAAAGTGAAAGGCAGCAATTCCAAAGCGCCAAATGCCCATCAAACATTTGGCCAACGAATGGCAAATAAACACATTTATCGCAACTGAAACATGACGAATGTTGACCTGCGTTGGCTAAATGCTGGCGAGCTATGAATGATGGCATTTGATGCTAAGCATTTGAGTGCCTCACATACATAGCATAGCACAGCATGGCTAAAATTTACGATTGTAGATAAGCGGAGCATCAGCGTCCGTTTATGCATACTATATGTGTATGTATATATATATTTCCGTATGGAGTACGAGTATATGTATCTACTTGTATTCATAGTAATTTACATTTTGACGCCGTCAAGTTCAATAACTAACGACAGTTTTGGGTATTTATTTATTTATATATAAATTAAAACTAAAAACTGCGAAGTATTTAGTGATATTTATTTCACAATTTTGTACTTAACACATAAAAATTTAAATAAAACAAGAAAAAGCGTTAACTTCTGTTTCGCCGAAGCAAGAATACCCATAGCGAAATAAAGTTTTCATACAGCACTTGAATGCGATCTTTCAGTTTGTATAGTGGTCCGATATCGGCGGTTCCAACAAATGCAAAATCTTAGATCAAAATCTCAAAAACTGAGGGACTAGTTCGCGTATGTACAGACACACGGACGGACGGACGGACGAACGCACATGACTAAGTCGACTCAGCTCGTCATACCGCTATTTATATTTTTATAGGGTCTCCGAAGTTTTATTTTGTGTGCTACAAACATCGTTGCAAACTTAATATAACTTGTTTAAGGTATAATTAAGCATTATAAGGATGAGAAATCATCCCTAGTATCCATACTTGTATATTAAGAATCTGAATATGAATACCAAGAAGGTTTTTTTACTCTTCTTTTACATCGTTTTACAGATGGACCACCAAAATCGTTAAAATCCGCTATATGGTATTTTAGTTATATGTATGGTACATATATAGTTGACATGATTTTGACACTTCGTGGTGGCCATATTTGTTTACGGATTTTTTTCAGTGTCTTCAGTAAGGTTTACCATTGTATAATATTTACTTTGGTACAACGCTTGGAAATTATCCAATATTATTACGCGAATTCACGTTCTCCGTTTGTTACTGTAAGAGCTCTTCGCTCTTCAACGCATAAGTGAAAAATTCGAAAATGATTATAATCTCCACGATAGTGTGCCACGTTCACTCCGTCAAACGAAAGTGATGGACTGTGTTAAGTCCAATACGGATCAGTTGGTTCAACGTCGTTCGGCACACTTGGGTCTCTTTTCGATGACAACATGGTGAGTTTTGCGGTTGGATTTGGCTTTGTGTCCGTATTAGATTATGTTGCCACAAGAACTGAAGTCGACAGACCATTGGAAGCGCCGTAATTTGTGCTGCAGCGCTAGGTCAATATGTCTTCTGATGCAGGCGTAATAGTATTATGATTCTTGAAACGTGGAGCTGAAACAGATTTGAAATATATACTTTAATCAAATACCGATATTTTACTCAGCGCTAACAAAACTCAAATTTCGTAGTTCTTTTAGTGGGCTTAATAAATGAGGTCACCAAATTAAAAATATTTAATTATCTGCAAAAGAGACTGCGACTTTCTCATACTAATGGTTGGATATATCTATTTCACCACTCACTTCACTTTCGACAACCGTTTACTATTTATAAGAAATTTCCTACTCAGGTTCTCTAATTTCGGAAATACATTGTAGTTGCTCAGTCAGCGCCAGAAAGGTCGTTTTAAAAGAAGAACCGCTTTTTACATCAACTGTGATCGATTGCCTCAGTCTGATTGGAAGTATGCACTGGTGGTCCATTTCGTGGTTCTTTGGCATTTATTTTTGGGGGATTATTTCTTCCAAATGTTAGTCGCGGCTACGTCTCAGATGGTCCATCCGTTGAGTCCAATTTTCGATGACTGGTTCGAGGCTTTCGACCGGTAACTGGCGAATGATATGCGTGATGTTTTGCTCCAAGGCCTAAATCGAAGCGGGATTGTCCGCATAGACTTCAAACATTACATATCTCTACCGGAAAAAGCCTTAGGATGTGATATCAAACGATCTTGATGGCCAATCGACCGGACCAGAACGTGTAGTTATTTGCTCACCGAAGTGTTCTCTCAATAAATCCATTGATTGTTGTGATGTGCGGGAAGTGGCGCCGTCTTCTTTTGCGATCGCCATTGACGGTTACGTTCTCACTGGCATCATTTTTGAAGAAAAATAGACCGATGATTCCACCGGCCTACCAACCAAACAAAACCGTTGTTTTTTCTTGATGAAATGGCAGCTCCTGAATCTCTTCAGGTTAATTTTCGTTCAAAAGCGGCAACTTTGCTTGTTTATATACCCATTGAGTTAGAACTGGGCCTCATCGCTGAACAAAAGTTGGCCCGAAAGCGTCGAATCTTCTTGGAACTTTTCAAGAGCCCATAGAGCAAAGAAATTTCGATTGGGAAGGTCGAGCGGCTACAGTTCTTGCACAAGCTGTATTTTGAACGCTTTCAATTCAAGATCTCGACGTAAAATGCGCCAAGTCGTTTCATACGTCAGTCCTAGTTGCTGCGAACGGCGTCGAATCAACTCTCCACGGTAGTCGTATACACTTTCAGCTACGGCCGCTATATTGTCTTTACTGCGTGCTGGACTTGGTCTATTAGGTCGAATATTATCCAATTATGAATGCTGGGTCTCAAGATGGGTGATGGTGTTGCGAATAGTATGCTCAGTAGGCCGATTATGTTGATCATAAATTGAGCGAAGCGCGCGAAACACATTCTTTACAAAACGTAAATTTTTGTAATAAAGTTTAACGATTTGTAAACTTGTTCACGCGTAAGTCTTTCCGCAATGAAATGCCAAACAATACTCAATACAATACGACTCACGCGTGATTTGTCAAAACAAGGCTATTGAAAAAGGTACCTCTACTTAGATCAACCCTTACTAAGTTCTAACTACTATTTCCGGCAACACTAGAAGTAAGGTTTCTCTGAAAGCTGTCGGACGTCAATAGGCAATGTCATACCTTCGAGAGGTTCGTGTAATTGACAAGGGTTCCCAAAATATTCACTAACCATATGGAGGTGGCTTAATGCTTGTAAGTGGCTCCATTTGTCGTACAACAAAAAGCACAAATCTCAAAGTAAAAGGGGGCAATTCAACCAAACTAATTTGAATTAGTTCGAGTACCTATTGTTACCTTGTTATAGCAAAAATTTAATAAATTACCGTCAAAATTTCCATATTTAGTATAAAAATTGCTTTTAAAAAATTCCAGTACACGGTAATATTAGTGTTTCACTTTATTCATGAGCATAATCATTAAGTGCAGCGCAGTTAGTCCCTGCGGCACGACGTTCAGCTCCAGCGGAACTCAACATTGCAACTGTGTTTAATGTTGAAAGCTCATTTGCGTGTATTCGCAGCGCCTTTATTCCTCTACAAAGGTGTGTCTGTGTGTTTCTTTGATATTCTAGTGCCACCGAGCAGCTGTGTATGAATTTATATCGCGTGGGTGTTCGCAATTTGGTTGACTTTTTCGCGTTTCTCGTTGTTGTTGTTGGCTTAGTCATGGCTGCCAATGCGGTTGGCGCCCGCTCCAGTACCCACCTAGATTGCCATTAGCGAAAAGTGGAGAACTGGGCGACGTGTGAAATTATGTTAACAAGTATATTTAATTTACCAGCGCATAAAAGCAACAAAAATACAAAAAAGAGCAAAAGGCAGAAAAAATTAAATGAAACGTACAACGAGCACAAAGTGGCAGTCCCCAGGCGCTACAAAAATAGTTTAACAAACTGCGCCAGCTACTTTTTGAGCGTGTGCTCTACATATTTATATTAGAAAAGTTACTCCTGATGACTGAAAAAATGCAACAACAAATGACTATTTGAGCACCAAGCGACACGAGGTGCATGTGGAATACTCTCGCATAATTTGAATGAAGAAAAAATCGTTTAAACTAACTTTATTCAGTAGAGCAGGTGTTGTAGGAGAAATGCCGCGAAGGATAATTAAATTAAATGTGTATTATAGAAAAGTTTACCATTTCGAACAGGTATCGATTCCAGTATTTAGTGATAATAATATTCAGATACCGAAGTATATTTTTAATAAAACTTTAATTGAATAACGTTAACGTCAGTTACGCCGAAGCAATGCAATAGCATAAATATATCCTTTTATCTGTATCTTGACTTTGATCGGTCAGTTTATATGACAGCTATATTCTATTGTAGTTCGATCTGAACAATTTCTTCGGAGATTATAGCGATGTTTTAGATAACAATCTATGCCAAATCTCGTGAAGATACCTTGTCAAATAAAATATTTCCATACAAGGACTTGTGTTTGATCGGTTAGTTTGTATGACAGCTATATGCTATAGTTGTCCGATATCGGTGATTTTCACAACTGAGCCGCTATTTGGTGAGAAAAGAATAAATTCAAAGTTTCAGATCAATATCTCAAAAAATACTAGTCTCTTCGCGTATATACAGACAGACGGACATAGCTAAATCGGCTCAGCTCGTTACACTGATCCTTTATATATATTATATATACGGTGTAGGATCTCCAACGTTGCCTTTTGGGTGCTGCAAGCATTCTGACAAACTTAATATATGCTATTTAGG